TTTTTTTGTTTGTTTTGTTTTAAAAGCAACTTTGAGATTCATCCATTATTATTTTGTATGTATTATTATTCGTTTATATTATTCTTATTATTCTTATGTCTCTGAAAAGATCAGCCAAATGTGAAAGACAGGAAAGGAATCGATTATGGCGTAAGAGGAAAATGGTTCCATGTACACAGAGTGTACAAAACATTAAGGACACCTGCTCTTTTCATGACATAGATAGGGGGGGGGGGGGTTCCTAATATTTGGTATACTCAGTGTATAACAATTGCCATTCCTATACAAGAGGAAAAGGTCATGATTATAATTTAGTTTTTGTGGTTAATAATACTTGGTATTATTCTCTCGGTCGATGGTACTGTTATTGGGGTCTGGGCCAATCCTTAAATGTCACGAGGAATTACTTTAGCCCTGTTCTCACTCATGTAAACTGATAAATGTGACGACTTCAAATACCACCAAAATAATATATATTTTTGTTACCTTTTCCGACATCAATGAAGCCTTGCAGTACTTACAGTATATTGTGTCATAATATCAGGGTTCAGATGGACCTGCAAACTGTATTGTTACAGGATCTGAAAAACCACGATCAGTCAATGGGAAATATCATTATACTCTTGGGTAAAGTGTTTAGCACAATATCTGTAGAAATGTTACAAATAGGGAGGTTCAAGACCCTCGTAAGACATTACAGTAAAATGGAGGGATGTATTGCCAGAGGAAATAGCAAAATGGTATTATACTGGGAAAGATGGGTTAATCTGAGGACATCGGAGGGTTGGAGTTAAGACCAGAATGAATGGTGTGTTGGCCGCTGCAGGAGAAAATTCAGCACTTGCAGAATGAGGAAATTAGGAATATACTGTATGTATAATAATTTAACTACTGTACATGTACCGTACATGTGAGAAAATATAGCTGTAAGTAGCAGTAAAAGTATTTATATTTTACTCCAATCAGGGACAGGGTGGTAGGGTTGGGGAAATAAAAAATATAAATAAATATAAGGGGGATTAGAAATTATGCAAACTATTAAATTGATAAAACCCCAAATCTATCTGCAATATTAAAGCTGATCTACCCCTTCTTCAACTGACCCATAAACCCATGTCTAATTCTGAGATCTGCTAAAATGAATTATTATCACTGTGGTCTGACCAATATCCTCACCTCTTTAGCCCATTAATCTCTCTCACACACACAGCTTTTTTTAATGTGAATTTTCTGGACTTTTTGGGAATAAAAATGTCTTCCCATTCATAATCCTATTTCCCAAACCCTGAACCTTTAAGCCTAAAATAGCATTTTAACAAATTCAGGACATGGAAAAAGTCCTGACTTTTCAGATTGTTTCTTGTTTTCCTACCTTGTCAGGACATTCTGGTGAATTGTTTCGACATTCTGGTCCTGATAATGTAGGAAAACATGTACACACACACACCAAGGACCACTACCAACCCCATTCCCTGCCCAAAGCCACAGAAATTAAATTACCCTGTGCACTGGGCTGGAACCCTGGCCTGAACTGCCTGAGTGACCTGCCAGAGGGGTCGTGGAGTTCAGGCTACCTTCACATACCTTCTGTTGTCCTCACTTGGTGTTCTGTGGTATAAGAGTTGGGGCCTTATGTGGCTTTGGGATCTACAGACTTACCCACTGTTCACCTGGTTACCTAATGGGATCCACAGACTTACCCACTGTTCACCTGGTTACCTAATGGGATCCACAGACTTACCCACTGTTCACCTGGTTACCTAATGTCACCACAATCAAAAGTCTTACCATGCTTAGGAAAACGCACAGGTACTAGGTGTTAGTTAGAAAGGTTAACAGCTGAGAGATGTAAATCACAATTCAGAAATTGCTATTCCAATCAATGGGACAGCACCACGGGGAGTAGTAGGTAATGAAATTTAGGAATGGGACCAAGTGTGTTTATGCTAATGATTCATCCCCTGCCAGCCACCTCCACTCCAGACCCATTCAGTCCCTCTCAAAATCAATCAAGAACAATTCAATCTGCCCAGTGATTTAGCAAGTTTGATTTTGGACACAATATGGCTAAGCTGTAAAATATTTACGATACAGTTGATGGTTCTCTATGGATGGAAGCAACTTTGTAAATACTTTACAGACAAAGTCACGAATGCACATACAGTATGTCAGCACACTCGCACACAACCGAAGCCTCAATGACAGTGGGTGACAAGTGACGCAGCACCAGTTCAGAGCAGACATGGGAGGTGCTACAGTGACAGATGTTTTTAATAAGGCTTGCCTGCATTCAAGCCACTATTTCTGTGAATGATGCAACTGCAGTGTTGCCATAACCCCATTCACACAGCCATCCCTCACCGGCAGACACAAGGATGTAGCTATTTCTAAAAATGCAATCTCCCTAAATCCCAATCTGCATCTGAGGATAAAGATGGATCATGGTGTCAATGAGCACTGACTCCAGACAGAAGAGGAGCCACAACAGGCTGGGGATAGTGGCATGTGGAGAAGAACAATTCAGACAGCCACTCCTCAGGGTCACCTCCATCCACTCCTGCCCCTCTGGAGAGAAAAAGAGGACTTGCTAATGACTAAAGCAGTGTGGAATGCCTTAGTTGTATAGGCTTCCTGTGCATCTGATTTGGCAGGTATTTGTCAGAGAGCCTGCTCCTTCTCTAGTGATGGCCATTTGCCTTTCCTATTACAGGATCTTGAAAAACACAATTGGTAAATTTGAGGTTTATGGAATATAATGTTGGTGTCTACTACCATCTGGTGGCCAATATACTCTAGTTTGGTAGTGGGTCAACATACAAAATGAATGACGACATACACTGAGTGTACAACACATTAAGAACACCTGAAACCAGGTGAAAGCTATGATTCCTTATTGATGTCACTTATTAAATCCACTTCAATCAGTGTAGATGAAGGGGCGGAGACAAGTTAAAGAAGGATTTTTAAGCCTTGATACAATTGAGATATGGATTGTGTATGTGTGCCATTCAGAGGGTGAATGGGCAAGACAAAAAATGTAAGAGCCTTTGAACGGGGTATGGTAGTAGATGCCAGGTGCACCAGTTTGTGTCAAGAACTGCAACGCTGCTGGGTTTTACACGCTCAACAGTTTCCCGTGTGTATCAAGAATGGTCCACCACCCAAAGGGCATCCAGCCAACTTGACACAACTGTGGGAATCATTGGCGTCAACATGGGCCAACATCCCTGTGGAATGGTTTCGACACCTTGTAGAGTCCATGCCCTGACGAATTGAGAATGTTTTGAGGGCAAAATGAGGTGCAACTCAATATTAGAAAGATGTTCCTAATGTTTTGTACACTCAGTGTAAGTTGCTGCTCAAAAGTGGAAAGTCCATCTTCCATAGGGGAACAGAGCCTATATAATTTTGACAACTTTCAATGATTTTCTGAATTTAAATGTACATTTTATTAAATGAAATAAACCCAAAACATAGTTGGGTTATGTGGAAATCACCTTGGTCTAAATGTAACATCTCAGACGTTTAGTCTGCTCATGACTGTTGCCTGGGTAGTTGTTTGGGGTGAAGAAGGGCCATAGGAAAGTTTCTTTCTCTTGAGCTGCAGGGCAGGCCTTGTGACGGTGTTATTGGAGCTGACAGCACTGCATTCTCCTCATTCAGTCAGTTGCACTCGCTGATCTACCGGTAACAGGCTCACTCCTCAGGGATGGCCTTGACTGTTTACTTTTAACGTTTGGCATGCTCAATGAATCCCATCCTGGTTGTCCAGCTGAATTTGAGGCCTTTCTCATCTTCTTCTCCTCTGACTGGACCCCCCTCTGTTCAGCCTCACACAGCTGCCATCCTTACACATGAACTGAAAGGGGCTCGCTGCATTTAGCAGACACTCTTATCCAGAGCAACTTACAGGAGCAATTATGGTTAAGTGACTTGCTCAAGTGCACATTGAATGATTTTTCACCTAGTTGGCTTGGGGAATCCAACCAGCAACCTTTCAGTTACTGGCCAAATGCTCTTAACCGCTATGCTACCTGCCGCCCCATCCAAATTTGCAGTAGACAATTCACATATCATATCACTTGCACCTGTCACAAGCATATTTACTATTATATTGACTGTAAGCAGTGGTGGAAAAAGTACTAAATTCTCATACTTGAGTAATAGTAAAGATACGTTAATAGAAAATGACTCAAGTAAAAGTGAAAGTCGCCCAGTAAAATACTACTTGAGTAAAAGTCTACACGTATTTGGTTTTAAATATACTTAAGTATCAAAAGTAAATGTAGTTGCTAAAATATACTTAAATATCAAAAGTAAAAGGTAAAGTACGAATCATTTAAAATTCCTTATATTAAGAAAACCAGACAGCACCATTTTCTTGTTTTTTTTAAATCTACGGATAGCCAGGGGCACACGCCAACACTTATACATAATTTAAAAACAAAGCATTTGTGTTTAGTGAGTCCGCCAGATCAGAGGCAGTAGGGATGACCAGGGATGTTCTCTTGATAAGTGTGTGAATTGGACCATTTTCTGTCCTGCGAAGCATTCATTTTCTTTAGGAATGTAGTGAAGTAAAAGTAAAAGTAGTCAAACATATAAATAGTAAAGTAAAGTACAGATACCCCCAAAAATCTATTTAAGTAGTACTTTAAAGTATTTTTACTTAAGTACTTACACCACTGACTGTAAGACATAATTAGCTGTTGATCAGACTACCATCACCCAATAATTAAGTCCTGGTTTATCATTCTTTCACTGTCCATTTATGGGAGGAGTTGGTGTCATGAGGAGTTGGTGTGACTAAATGGAGAATTACAATGCAGGGAATCAGAGTGCTGTGTAATGATCATCATCACATCATGATGCTTTGTTAAGTTGAGAAGCTACTGTTTGAGTTCAGTTTATCCCTTGCTAAAGGCTAGAGGAAAAAACATGTAACTAAAAAAGAGTAGTACACTGACATCTTCTGGTGCAAGGGCATAGCTACAATAATGTTGGACAAACAACTGTAGTGTATTCTCAACAAGTCAGTCAACAAAAATGATGTCCAACGGTGAATTAAAGACCCCCTAAAAAGTCACAGACAGCTCTCTCATTAGCAAGCCAATCCAATTAGTTTTCCATAGGTTCACCTTGTCATCAATGGAATTATAAATATGTTTTTATTGGCCTAAACTTCCACCTGGAGAAGGACTACCTTTGGCCAGCTACACGTTTACAATTTTATTGACAATATGCTCCAGGTAAGGACGGTTAACTGTCACCACACAGAAAGACAGTTGTGACAAAATGTTTCAAAGTTGTCTAAGTGATTTCTTTCTTTCTATATTTTGGTGTTCAAACCTCCGCCCCTATTCAACTGAGCACGCGCTGGATGCAGGCTCGGGAAAACGCCATCTTTAAACCCCAGAAGAAATCACAGTTGAGCGCCGGTGATCAACGACACACAGTGCCTGCGTTGGTTTTAAACTCTGCGGGTATCATCATGATCTGTTTGTTGACAGGCGAAACAAATAAGCAACTAATTGAAGGAACTGTAAATACTCAACCAAGCCACATTGTATGGTTTTAAAATTGTACTATCAGAAGGCTAACATCAACAACACTAGCTAGACAACAACGGACGAGTAATCAAGGCGTTGTTATTGAGCTAACTGTTTGCTGGTTTCCATAGGTGGCTTGTTAGCTAAACCTGTATTGAAGGCACTTTGACATTCACATTACGTTGTTTTAAAAGGCTTGATTTGGACTCGACTGCGTGGCTGCAGTTTTAGTCCCGACTTCACCCCCTCCCTCCCCAGCGGCCCAGCCGGAGATGCGTGGAAGATGTCGGTTTCGGGTCTGAAGGCCGAACTGAAGTTTCTGGAGTCCATTTTTGATCCAAACCACGAACGCTTCAGAATTATTGACTGGAAGCCGGATGAGCTAAACTGTCAGTTTAATGTGACTGGAGAAAAACCGTTGATTATACATTGCAACATTACGGTAAGCAAGGAAACGAGGCTACATGGCTAGCTAGTTGAAGCTAAGTAGGTAGCTAACGGTAGCTAGTTATGGTTAGCTCAGAACACGTAGCTTTTTTAGCGTGGCGGCGCGGAACAACCGGACGGACAGATAGCTAAAGAAACACTCTGCGAATTGTGGCTAGTCGAACGTTAGCCAGCTATCATTTAGCTACTTTAGCTAAGCAATGTTTTTGTTTGTGACTTGTTTCTAGTAGGAGTCCCAATATTTGCATGTTAGCAAGCTAGCTAACGGTAGCTGACTTGTTTCTAGTAGTAGTAAGAGTCAAAATATGTGCGTGTTACTATTGTAGTTAACGTTAGCTAGCTAGCTAATATACTGAGAGACAAACAAGTCTTGTTGATTTTAGCCAAAGAGTTATCCTGAAAACTGGCATGACATTATGCTAGGGCCTAGGCTAGGCATGCTCTCTGCGTCACTGATGAACGTTGTTAACGTTAGCCATCTACACTTCCGCATTTACTAACGTTTGTTGATTGTTAAACAATTTAACTAGCTAGCTAACGTAGTGGTTGTTATGATTGCATGCTTCATGATCAACGCAATAAGCTCTAGCCCGTCAGCTGTCACTGATAACACTAACTTAATGCTAAGTTATCTATACTCATGACGTCAGTAAATAATTGCTAGCTAGCATGATTCAAAAGCATCACTTGTCAAAGAAACAGCTTCTGGTCTTGTCAAAAGACCGTGATCTGCCAGCTCAGCTTTTAGCTGGCTGGATGCTGTTGGTTTGTATTGTCCAATTCGCTTAGATAACTACATTCGTTTGACCAGCATACTGATTGAATTCAGTGCTCTTACCTGGCTAGTTAACATTCTATAAGAAATGTGAAATGGCCACCATCACACAACACATTAATTTAGCTTAATGTAAAGTAGTAATCAGCGATTACATTTGTCTGTTTAAAAGGACTCTTGAGATTTCCCAGATTTTATGATTCAGACATGTCCATGTCACACTCCTGTTTCATTTTTAGGTTATTGTTCCAAACAATTTTGTCACATTTCTCAGCCTTATAATGCTGATTATTTTTGTTTCTTTTTTTCTCTCATCCTCATTGAACCCCATGTCTTACAGGAGTCGTACCCCTCCACACCTCCAATCTGGTTTGTGGACTCTGATGACCCGAGCCTGACACAAGTGTTGGAGCGCCTGGAGGATGTCAGAAAGGGCAGCACCCTGGTAAGATCTCAGCCCTACAACTAGTATAACTAACAGTTGATAGTGGAGTGTTTTCTTCTGAACAGTTTGCATCTTATTTAATGTTTAGTAACGTCTATCTATTCTGTGTTCTTTCATCACAAGCACTTGGTTGGGCAGCATTCCTGTGTAGATTAAGACACGAGCCGTCAGCGAGATATGGTTAGGAAAACGTACCTCAATCCAGGGATGAGAGATGCGTGGTACTCTGAGTTGTCCCATTATCTTAACTGTTACACCGAGAAGATTGAACGACTGCTAGTTTTTACGGAACACTGTCCTTTTCGTCCTCATGCGAAAACGGCAGTTTACCTAAACTAGCAGTGCCTTTAAGGGGCCAGGCTGTATCTCAGCAGGAGCATTCTCTGTGCATTATGACGTTACAATGCCGTCCTGCTGAGCAAGCTCCATCAAAAGCAGGCAGATAATTGTGGTTCTAAATCATCTTTTGACTTCCATTTCAATCCCAGCTTTTGATCTATTATGTGAAGGCTTTGGAAGGAGGCTTCCCAGTGTTCAGATAATGAAACTGGATTATGACACTATATTTCCAGTATTTGTTTACAATTAAAATGTTGTTTAGCAGATGCTCTTATCCAAAGTAAAACAACCATATTATACGAAATGAATAGTAATCAAATCAACTTTGACTAAGTGTTATGCGGAGCAGGAGAAACATGTTGTTTTTCAGCCAATCACATCTCTTCTAATGACTAATTAACCATACCTGTTTTGGTGTTGTTGGGTAGAGCAGTTATGATAGGAGAGTTGAGTGACAGCTAGGCTATTTCATACTGCTGTTCCAAGTGGTGTTGGAGGTTAAAGGGAGATGTATGTCAGACTAATTCAGGGCTGTACTCTGCTGCAGGACAGGTTCTCTGCCTGTTTCCTCTTGCCTTAGTCCCAGTTGTTAGACAGCTGAGGTATTGAACAGTGTTTTGAAGTCACCCTCATGTCACTCCCAACATCATAGGACAGCCCTCTGTCATGTTTGGCATAAGTCTCAAGAGTGCCTCTGATGGGGAACTGGAGGGATGGATATTTTTGACAGGCACACTGCCACAGTGACACAGAGAGATTCAGCAGGCCAAAGGGCCTTGTCATGTGAATATTGAGGTCACTATTTTCATGCCAAGCAGTTCTCCAGGGTTTCCCCTATATTTATTTAGCAGCGGAGACTTGGCAATTAAGCCCTTTTTCTACTTACCCAGAGTCGGATGAATTCATGGATACCATTTTTTATATCTCTTGCATGCAGTTTGAAGGAAGTTGCTAACTTGTGTTAGTGCAAATGCTAGTTAGTAATGGTTTGCGAAACTACCATCAACTTCCTTCAAACTGCACATGAGTTCATCTGACTCTGAGTAAGTAGAAAAAGTGCAAGAGTTGGCAATTAAGCCCTATCCCTTTTAAAGACCTGCTCAGATGACTAGCCTACTAAGTATGTTTTATACCTCTCGCTTTGGGCTGGATGTGTCAATGTGTAATTCATACATGCATCATTTATGAGAAGAATTACTGTCTTACCTCAATTACCCTACATTTTGTGTGTCGCCGGGATGGAGGTATCTTCGGGCCAGTCTTACGAGCACGGGGTAGCCTAGTCTTTGTTTTTGAAATTACAGTAGGCTATCGGTATCCTTTATCGATAACCCTTTTCAGAAATAATGGAATGTGGCCCCTTGAAAGCGCTACAGCATGTTTGTCTGTCTGTCTATTAGGGTAGGCTACACTACATATTTTTAAATGCCAACACGAAACCTTCTCTGGAGACATGAGCAGGCATTTTACATGTCTGTAAAGGAATGAGGCTTCTGAAGTGGGACTAATGTCCATCACTAGGCAACCAGAACTGTCAATCAAATAATCTTGAGCTGCTGCCTGCACGCAGACCAATATCTCCTAAAAAAGTACTTTAAGGTTTGTTAAATACTGTGACTTACCAAGACATTTAGTAGAAATAAAACAAATTTTTCTACCATACCATAAAACGCAGCATAAAAAACACAGCAGCACATCAATTGGCAACGTTTATTGTTGTTAGGGAAAAAATACATTACATTTTATGCCGGAGCAGAATTCTGTCTCTTTTTCAAATTGTCTGAAAAGTTACCAATTGTCGCTATTGACATGTTACTGTAGCTGCGTTCTATGTCTGTAAAGGGTTGCGGTATATATAACTTCATTGCCTGGCCCTAGCAGTCATACATACGTAATAGGACTGTTCTGCATTGTAAATACATTCTTTGACTTAGCCTACTTACTCACACTGCATGTTCTGTTTGTAGGCCACCAGATCTGCTTTTATAGTACTCTTATCAAAGTTATCTGTGGTGGTTAGAATTTCTCTTTGCATTGTACAACATTTTCACCATGTATGGACCAGGCCTACATTCAGTAGAATACGTTTCTTCTATAGCAATACTGAGAAGCTTGCAGAGGTACACATTTCTGCCCTATGTTACTGTTGCTAAGGTGTCTGACATTCCCTGACAAAATCTTACCTTTCATGTTGTCTCTGAGGGCATGCCGTGGTGGAGGTAGAATGCCGTGAAAAAGTATTTGCCCCTTTCTGATTTTCTGAGTTTGCATATTTCTTACACTGAATGTTATCAGATCTTCAACCAAAACCTAATATTAGATCAAGGGAAGAGAAGTGTACAAATAAACACTTTATCATTATTTAATAAACAAAGTTATTCCACACCCAATGCCCTGTGTGGAAAAATTAATTTTCCCCTTACACTAACTGGTTGTTCCACCTGCAATGACTGCCACCTGCAATGACTGCAACCAACTGCTTCCTTTAGTTGTTGATCAGTCTCTCGCATCAAATTTTGACCCACTCTTTCATGTAGAACTGCTTTAACTCAGTGACCTTTGTGGGTTTAGGTCTGGACTGTGACTAGGCCATTCCAAAACATACAATTTGTTGCTTTTCAGCCTGATGTAGACTTCATTTTTCTGGTGAAAACCAAACACTGCATTCCACAGTAAGAACCTCATACCATTGGTCAAGCGTGGTGGTAGTGTGATGGTTTGGGGATACTTTGATGCCTCAGGACATGGACGACTTGCAATCATTGAAGGAACCATGAATTGTGCTCTGTATTAGATAATTCTACAGGAGAATATCAGGCTGTCTGAGCTGAAGTGCAGCAAGACAATGGTCCAAAACACGCAATCAAGTCTATATCAGAATAGCTGAAAAACAACACATTTGAATTTTTGGAATGGCCTAGTCAAAGTCCAGATCTGAACCCGATTTGCGATGTTACGGCAGGACCTGAAACGAGCAGTTCATGCTCAAAAACCCACAAATGTCACTGAGTTAACAGTTCTGCATCGAGGAGTGGGTTAAAATTCCTCCACAGCGATGTGAGAGACTGATCAATAACTACTACAGGAAGCGTTTGGTTGCAGTCATTGCAGCTAAAGGTGGCACAACCAGTTATTGAGTGTAAGGGGGAAATTACTTTTTCACACAGGGGCACTGGGTGTTGCATAACTTTGTTTATTAAATAAATGAAATAAGTATTTAATTCGTGTTATTTGTTCGCTCAGGTGCCCTTTATCTAATATTAGGTTTTGGTTGAAGATCTGATAGCATTCATTATAAAAAATCGGAAAGTGGGCAAATCCTTTTTCACGGCACTGTATCTGTGACATGTCTGTGCTGTGTTATCTAGCGCTGCTGACCTGTTCCTTGCCTGCCTGTCCTCCCTAACTCTTAACTGTGCCTGCTGGTACTGTCCCTCGGTCCCCCAGCTCCTGCAGCAGCTGAAGCGGCTCATCTGTGACCTGTGTCGGCTGTACAACCTGCCCCAGCACCCAGATGTAGAGATGCTGGACCAGCCCCTCCCTGCCGGCCCTGTAGGACAAGACCGAAAGGTAAGGACGCCAAATGTCCCCTCAAATATATATGTATACTGGTTTTCAAAGACTGCTAGGCCTATATATTTTTCCATTGGATGGCATTGAAGTGAAAAATAAGCATTTAGAGGCTTTTTCATGAAGACCGTCTCTTTTCACATACCTAAAGTGAGTCATGTGCCTAATCCCTTTGTTCAATTTTATTGTCAAAGCCATGAAGGAGATTGAAGACACTTAGCTAATGAAAGGGTTTAAAAACCTGCATGAAGAACCTAATAGTGTCCTGAAACAGTCCCTCAGCACAGACATTAATGATTAGTGCAGAGTCCCGGGGATGGAATCAATACTCTTCCTGTGCTCAGGGTCAGTGGGAGGTGCTAGCATTTACATTTAACATTTTAGTCATTTAGCAGACACTCTTATCCAGAGCGACTTACAGTTAGTGAGTGCATACATTTTCATACTGGCCCCCCCGTGGGAAACGAACCCACAACCCTGGCGTTGCAAGCGCCATGCTCTACCAACTGAGCTACATGGGACCAATAATGAACCTCATGACCAATGAACACACAACCATAGCCTCATATAGCCTACTTGAGGAATTTGAATTACTGAAGCAGAGTAGTTAAGTAGTAGCAGCCTGTACAGCTGTGCTTTTAAACTCAAACATTGATTATTGGGCTGAAATAAAAAAAGGAGGCCGGGGGGGCACTGTTGTGCTATGCAAGACAAGAGGAATGTTGTTTCTGACTACCCAGAAACTCAGTTACTGGTTTTGCACATTTCAGAACATTCCTACAAATATCTCTGCATTTATGGGGAGTTTTTTGTTACCAGACTTCAGGCGGACGTATAACTTGCTAAAGCAATTGGTGTCACTGAGTGTGGCATGTTAGGAATGAATTGAACTGTCTGTGAACTCATCTTTCTCTCTGTTTCTTTAGCATGGGGTCACAGACGAGGTCACGTCCGAGGAAGAGGAAGAAGAGGAAATGGGAGAGGTCTTTATCTCTTTCCAAATAAACGTCATTACATATAGCGCTGCACTGCACCATGCTGATATGAGCTGAGCCATGCTGGACGTCAAGCTCGATTAGATACTAGTCAATACCAATCACACATATTTGCAAGTGTTAACTTGAAGTAAAACATGTCTTCTAATGCTCTTATCTTGTCATTGTGTTGTGCCAGCAGGACATTGAAGACCTGGACCACTATGAGATGAAAGAGGAGGAGCCAGTGGATGGGAAGAAGTCTGAGGATGACGGCATCGAGAAGGAGAACCTGGCCATCCTGGAGAAGATCCGCAAGAACCAGAGGCAGGACCACTTGAACGTAAGTGCTCATTCGGTAAGGTGACTTTTCATACGCTTTTGGGGGATGCATGGGGAATATCTCTGTAGTTAGGCCTAAAACAGTTTGCTGGACCCAGCACTGTTATACTGGGATGTCTAGAGTGACCCTTTATGATATAGCCATTATGCATGCATCTAACCAGTTTTTCAGGTGGCTCTGAATATAATGTATTTTTCCATTTGTTTTCCATCAGTGTTTTACTCTGAGGGAATTTCTTACCAAAGAAGTACACCCAGATTATGTGGTTTAGGACTCCAATTTGTAAACAAGGACATAATCAACATGGATTGCGAAGACTAAATGACAGTGATTAGTCATTCTGATAGTAATCATGTTATCTAACATTTACCCATAGCTCTCTTAATTGTTGCTGTGGAATTCAGACGTTTCCCCTGAGTAGCTCCGAGAGACTTATAAACACATTTGTTTGTGCCAGATTATTTACTCTGCTCTCATCCTCCATAGTCCCTGCTGCATTCACTGGCTCTGCTCTTCAAATCTATCATTATCACAGATGAGAGCCTTGCTATGGAACCTGTGAAATTCTCCCCATTTATTGTAGGGAACTGTATACTGCCAAGTAGTTAGTTCTGAAGCATTTTGTCTCTGTATGCTGAACAATAACTGTTCTTTTATTGGAGTTTGTAGATTTTCTTTTTCTAAAGGTAGCTTAGTGGGTAAGAGCGTTGTGCCAATAACCGAAAGGTCGCTGGTTCTAATCCCCGAGCCGACTAGGTGAAAAATCTGTCTGTGCCCTTAAGCAAGGCACTTAACCCTAATTGCGCCTGTAAGTCGCTCTGGATAAGAGCGTCTGCTAAATGACTAAAAATGTAAATGTAAAAATTTGAGCTGGGCATGTAAACATTTGAATTAATCGTTGCGGTCACAGTATCTATGTGCATTATTATCCCCAATCGTTGAATGTGCTGTATGTTTGGGTATCAGTGTATTACCCTGGGTGTATTATGTGTTGCAGGGTGCAGTGTCTGGTTCAGTGCAGGCCTCAGACCGCCTCATGAAGGAGCTCCGGGAGATATACCGGTCCCAGAGTTACAAGATGGGTACGTACTTCACTGCAGCAGCACTAGAAAGCTCTTCAGATATGGTGCCAAAAAATACAATAAATTGACAGTTTGATTCAGAATGTCACTTACCAGACTATGCATTCTCTTCCAGGTATCTATTCAGTGGAGCTGGTCAATGACAGCCTGTATGAATGGCACGTCAAGCTGAGAACGTAAGTAACTAAAGGGGGGGAGACAAAATACTGTGGTTTAGACTGGAGGAACACTTAAGTCACAGTTAACAGGAAGCCTGGATCTCAGGATGAGGGTGGATAATGCCTTATAGCATTCACTGCTCTTTTGTTTCTGCACTAGGCCTTTTTACCATAGGAGTTGACAGTACTGTATAATTATAGCATGTGACTGATGTATTATGATGCGCTCTGTTTGCTCAACAGGGTAGATCCAGATAGTCCCCTACACAGTGACCTGCAGGTTTTAAAGGAAAAGGAGGGAATGGATTACATTCTGCTAAACTTCTCATATAAAGTAAGTACGAATGCTGATACTAGAAAGCAAAGACAATTTGGTAGCTTTGGGAGTTCTCATTTTAATGCTATTTTGTGCTCAACCTGCAGGATAATTTCCCCTTTGATCCACCCTTTGTACGGGTGGCTTCTCCTGTGCTGTCTGGAGGGTGAGTTCAGTAAACTGCGTATGAGTGGAATGGTTTTGTTTTTCTGCTGTGTTTCCACTGTGACGGAGTTGCTCCCCTCACTTAACCTTAAAGGAAGGGCGGTCTCTTCTGGTCTAGACTGATTGTCAACAGCCAGTGAAAAGTGGCAGTTCCCTTAAAAGAGAATCTGTGCTTGTGGATAAGAGATTTATTGTGGCGTTTTGATCACCTTTATATCTACATATTCTAATATTTTCCTTTCACCTGCTGTCTTCTAAGTTATGTTCTTGGAGGGGGTGCCCTGTGCATGGAGCTTCTCACAAAGCAGGTATGTTTTTATGCCTCTGAATGTCAGTTCATAACTTGTCCACTGTTATTTCTCAGTGGAGGTAAAAGCTAGTGCGTTGATTATGTATCGTCACTTGATTTCAGGGCTGGAGCAGTGCCTATTCCATAGAGTCTGTAATCATGCAGATCAACGCCACTTTAGTCAAGGGAAAAGCCAGAGTGCAGTTTGGAGCCAATAAGGTAAGCATTGCTTGTCTAAGGGGGCAGAGAGCTTTGAAATGTGTTAACATGATGCATACTACAGGGTTTATTGACACTGTGTTCTGACATGGATAGAGGGGTGAGCTCCCTGCTGTGTTTGTGTGTGGCCTGCTGGTCCAAGCTGCTCTATGGAAATGAGGTATCACTATAAGCCCCCAGCACTTCATTTAAACAGGACGTTGTTACTTAGCGCCGCTGGGACAGTGCCATGCTGCTGATCTCTTCATGCTGTCATTTCTCTCAGCACGGTCACACTAATCTCGCTCTGGGCTACCAGTAGAATTTGAAGCAGACCAAATGACAGGGATGTTTTATAGACAAGCTGCAGTCTGGGCAGTTTCAAGGAATCTTGGGCCCTGCTGCGTGAGAATCTCTGAGTTCTTTAAAAGTTAGGATGTAACCATGTACACCAAAGAAAGACTTGATACTCAGCTATGTTGATGTCAAATCTTGTCTAATGAAAGTGTTTATCATATCTGTCCAGAGGTTACTAAAGTTGGGTAGGTATGGTTAATAAAATGTACCTATTAATCAAAAATATAAGAATACCAATGTTTCTGTTACCGGGTTGATACAACTTTGGCCTTATAAGAACCAGTTCGACTTTTAAGCTGAATTTAATACACCCACATCAGAGAAAATAGACCCAGCACCTCAGAAATTTTCCCCACATGGTCGACAATCTATTTATTACGGTGTGATTAATGGTCACCCGCGATGCGCGCAAAAGTAGCATGAAAACAGGTCGGGCGGCAAAATTCTCTGGTGGAAGCTGATACAAAGGCATCTACCGTGCGGTCTGACTTCACCAAACTAATTCGCATGTACGTGATGGTCTCCCCAATATAAATGAACCTTTACACTGCTTGGGGCATTCATAAGCACTGAAGTTGAATATATGCCCTGTTTTTGTTTCAGAACCAATACAATCTTGCCAGAGCACAGCAGTCATACAAGTCCCTGGTCCAGATCCATGAAAAGAATGGTGAGTGTTACCTTCTCCAGTTAAACATCTTGTATCATATTTGACCTTGATAGTACATCCCTCCATGCATCAGTCAGTGGTTGAGGAAAATATTACAAGCACCAAGAGGGTTTCATATGGCAGCTATAGTGATTGTTCATAGGTCAAGATAAAATACAGCCAACTGTTTGATCAATCCTACTGTCTAAGATGAATTGACTCAGTGTTTTGTCCAGTATGTCTGAGTGCACTGTCTCTTGTCTGATCCTTGTAGGCTGGTACACTCCCCCTAAGGAGGATGGGTAAGAGGAGCGTTGCCATGCCTCCACTGAGACCACATGTCAACACCTTTCCCCCCCCATACTTTTCTTTTCCCTCTCTAACTGGAGTTTTCATTGGGAGTTTGATCCCAAGCCAATTCCACCCATTCTGTGACCATGAGAACCAAACAACCAATGGTTAAAACCCCCTCACTGACCAACCACCTTATCCACTTCTCAATAGGGGATCTACCCTCTCGCTATTTCTCTTTCTCTCACTTGTGCAATCGCTCGTTCTGTTTTCTTCCTCTGTTATAATCCACCCTAATCCCTTGAGCATTGAATGAACTCCATATCTTGTGCAACTCCCTTAAATCCTACACTGGGCAAGAAGAGGTTACTTACTGCCTGTGATTTTGGGTCAAGGTTGAGGCATGGCTTTTGCTAGCAACTGAAGCTGTCTGTTGTCAGTCACATGACTGGGGCTGAGATTCTCTGGCCACAGACTGGAACAGAGAAAGGCCGGTGACATTTCCCCTGTGACAGTGGAGGCTGGGACGGACAATGAAACCGCTGGTGGTGGGAATGAGCACCACCTCACTCCCCATGGATGGCCTCTGTCATGTTTGCTTGTGTATCTGTATATTGCCAAGATTCATCCTTCTGGAATAAAATGTCCTCCTGAGGCTAGCTTCCTTAACTCCTGGTCTACAAAAGCCAAAGGCCCTGAATGGAGAGAGGAGAGTTATAGACTCCTGACTAAGGTGGGACTGGGACCGCTTAATGGAGGATATCCTATTGAGCACAAGAGGTGGAGGCCGCTGCCTCCTCCTCCTCTACCACCGCCCAGCCAATCTCCTCTCAGGCTGCTTTTGGCTTTTATCGGCAGCATACAGAGATATGACCAGGCTTTAGCAAAGGCAGGTTGGATTTAATCACTGTAATGTAGTTGAATTTAACTCCACATGTATACTTGTAAAGTTGTATTTCTGAGAATGGATTTCATTGTTTTTAACGTAACCTTGTGTGGGTCTTGGGGTCCGAGCGGGCAGAGACTGCGTTAGTATAGCCCTGGCTATAGCAGGGGCATACATTTCTCAAGGTGTATTTCAGACGTAGGATAACAAACCATTTGCTTCATGGATACTCTTGCAGAAGTTAAAAGGAACACCTTTAAACCATGTTTTTATGTAAGCATAGTGACTACTATTGTTTTTTGTTTTCCTGTATAAATTGAAGTACTTGCATTATTTTCTTAGTGGTTTCATATGTTCAAAAGTGACACCATTCCTTTTACTCAATGACACGGTGGTGCTTTTTTGGCATTCCAGATATGCTGGCTAATTTCCCCGGTGACACAAACCTGATGAACCTTTTAATAAGGCTATGCACACAATGGTTAGGAGGTAATATGTACACACAATAATTTCAAAACGTCTCAGTGCAGTCCCCTGCTTAATTTGAATCCATCCTCTAACTAGCTTGTTCACACTCCCATATCACCCATCCATGCCTCTCATGCCTGCAGTGGACTTCACTTCATACCACATGCTCAATAATAAAATATTTGTTGATTCCAAAAAACATTTTCAGGTCTGACTAAGGTGTGTAGTAATGCCTTTGACAAAAGACTGATGCCCACTGATTTCCATCCTTTGCCTCCCCTCTCTGGTACCTTGTTTTGTATCACCTATGACCTGACCCCCCTCATGATCTTTGTTGTCAGTGATGGAAGGAACCTTTTTTAGAGGGGTCATGAACCCCTAACTCATGACCATCCTCAGCACTGTCAAACCTGGAGCATGCCAAGTCTTAGCTATATGAATAATATGCAGAATACTGTGTGATGCATTTGATTGAATGTTATTACACACATAAATGGGTGTTTTTTGTGTGGATATTATCCACATTGTTAGAAGTCTGTTGTCGCAAAAACCAGCATAGGAACCAGCTTGTTCCTAGTAAATATTCAGCTTTTTTTTGTTCAATACTGTAGGTCAGCCCACCACACTAACCTCAACCAGAACTGTCACCCTTGTGAAATATACTAATAATGGGCGTATAATTAAGCTCCATCTACCTTTTATTTGTTGTAATGTCAGCCACCCCAGCTGTATACCACAATGCATCGCGTTCTGTCAAAATGGTGGCACTGACCACACTGAAGAAGACTCATTTAGAGGTTTAATACTGTTCACCCAACATGGTGACTGACTTCCTTACAATATGTCTACAACACATGGAGAACTGTTGATCATTGTCATAGACGTTAGGTGTTGGTACCAAGTGTTCCACTGCTTTCCCACATGGCTGACCTCATTGTGAACATGCCCCGGCTAGAAACCCCCTCCCTCCCTGTGTGTTCTCTAGAGAAGCAAACTCAGGAATACATAGCTACTGCACACTTGACTTAGCAAGGGATTGTTTCACAAATGTCACAAGATGCAAGTATATATATATTTTTTTCAATTACTATTGTTTACTTCTAAATTTGTTTCCCTTCATATAATTACAGTAACCGTTGCAGTAACCATTGGACTGCGCACTCTGCATTTGGCTTGTCTGAATATCTTTCTTTGTGGTAGTCACTGGTAAGACTAGTGGTAAGCAGGGTGTGGTGGAGTGATGAGATGGGACGGGCATGCTTGCTCTTTCTTGATATAGGCCCCCCTATATATACCATTCAATCCATCAGATCAGTTTTGTGATGCAGGAAGGTGAACCAACGCTTTATCTCACCCATTTAAGCTAATTTAACCTTTTGTCCTGGGTCTTTATGGGTGTTTCTAATCTAGGACATCTTCATCCTGTACCTCTGGTGTTGTAGTCTTTTGCATGTAGATATCTCAGCAAGTACTTTCACTCTGTAGGGACTAGTGTGTGTGTGTGTGTGTGTGTGTGTGTGTGTGTGTAGACAGGACAGTTCATCTATATTAGTTCGCACAGGTCTGTAGATGCAGTCTCTGGGAACAGATTCCTTTTTATAGATTCATGTAGGACTGACTCTCACCAGACCAGGTTAGTTCTAAAGGTTAACAATAGCAGAAAGGCAGTCTCCAACACTTATGGACGTCCCGCCTGTGTGTTAGAAGTATGAGATTGGAAACAAATGGACTACTATACTATTCTTTCCACCCCAGAGCAGGACTCCAACTCAGTTTAAATCCCTGTGCCATCAGAGCGTTCATCAAATGGGCTTTTAACTCAGTGGAAGGCCCCATGTCTGTATTCTAATGTCAGTTGTGCAGTGAATTACAGCTTCTCTTATACAGATCCAGACCAAGTTGTCTCTCTGACTAACAACCCAGTGCTTTGGGAGATTTTGTTTGAGACCTGAAACTAATTATGGGTTGCTTTTCTGGCTTCATTTTGTGATGGCCGATTGGATGGGTTATAAAGTAATGCACTGTTAGCTTTGGTTAAACCATTTTCATTGCAAGGGTAATTTTGACCATGTACAGTAATTTGTAAACTTGCATCAAGTTTATGAATAAAGAATTTTATGAAATACTCCTGTGTGCTATTTGAGATGTGATACAGAGCTGTGTAAGTCTTATATAGGACCCTATGCTTAAGACTGAAACCAGGAATGATTATCAATATGCCCTTGTAGTGGACAGTTGTCATTTTGGCCAGCAGATGGTGACAAGTGTCCTATACATAAAGATGCAGTTTTCGCATGAGATTCTGATTTGTCTGTTCTCTAGCGCTAACCAAAAGGGCAGAGGGGAATGTCTACCAGAGTGTTTTAAGTCCTAAAAGCAATGCTTTTGCTCATGGAAGAGCAGTGTAATCACACTGGATCTGGAACACTGGGTTTGGTTTGGAGGGCTAGTATGGCGATACCACGTCAATAGATGGGGGTTTGACTAATTTAATACAGATCAGGGATATCTTGTGCAGAAAATCCATACAAGTAGTTTCACTGTTATTTGTCTTTTCTCTGGCTGCAGCAGATAAACACTAGAGGGTGCTGGAACATCGTTACAGAAAGTAATTGACACAGTGCAGTTGGAAAATATTTACATAAGTATTCAGACCCTTTACTCAGGAATTTGTTGAAGCACCTTTGGCTGCGATTACAGCCTTGAGTCGTCTTGGGTATGAAGCTACAAGCTTGGCACATCTGTATTTGGGGAGTTTCTCCCATTCCTCTCTGCAGATCCTCTCAAGCTCTGTCAGATTGGATGGGTAGCGTCGCTGCACAGCTATTTTCAGGTCTCCAGAGATGTTTGATCGGGTTCAAGTCCGGGCTCTGGCTGGGCCACTGAAGGACATTCAGAGACTTGTCCCGAAGCCACTCCTGCGTTGTCTTGGCTGTGTACTTAAGGTCGTTGTCCTGTTGGAAGGTGAACCTTCGCCCCAGTCTTAGGTCCTGAGTGCTCTGGAGCAGGTTTTCATCAAGGATCTCTCTCTACTTTGCTTCGTTCATATTTCCCTCGATCCTGACTAGTTTCCCAGTCCCTGCCGCTGAAGAACATCCCCACAGCATGATGCTGCCACCACCGTGCTTTACCGTAGGGATGGTGCCAGGTTTCCTCCAGATGTGACGCTTGGCATTCAGGCCAAAGAGTTCAATTTTGGTTTCATCAGACCAGAGAATCTTGTTTCTCATGGTCAGAGTCCTTTAGGTGCCTTTTGGCAAACTCCAAACAGGCTGTCGTGCCGTTTACTGAGGAGTGGCTTCCGTCTTGCCACTCTACCATAAAGGCCTGATTGGTGGAGTGCTGCAGAGAGGAACTCTGGGGCTCTGTCAGAGTGACCATCGGGTTCTTGGTCACCTCCCTGACCAAAGCCCTTCTCCCCCGATTGCTCAGTTTGGCCGAGCGGCCAGCTCTAGGAAGAGTCTCGTTGGTTCCAAACTTCTTCCATTTAAGAATGATGGAGGCCACTGTGTTCATGGGGACATTCAATGCTGCAGAAATGGTTTTGGTACCATTCCCCAGATCTGTGCCTCGACACAATCCTGTCTCGGAGCTCTACGGACAATTCCTTCGACCTCATGGCTTGGTTTTTGCTCCGACATGCTCTGTCAACTGTGGGACCTTTTATATAGACCGGTGTGTGCCTTTCCAAATAATGTCCAATCAATTTAATTTACCACAGGTGGACTCCAAGTAGTAGAAACATCTCAAGGATGATCAATGGAAACAGGATGCACCTGAGCTCAATTTCGATTCTCATCGCAAAGGGTCTGAATACTTATGTAAATAAGGTATTTCTGTTATTTTTAATAAATTTGCAAAAATGTCTAAACCTGTTTTCGCTTCGTCATTATGGGGTATTGTGTGTAGATTGAGGGGGGGAAATAATACACTGCTCAAAAAAATTAAGGGAACACAAAAATAACATCCTAGATCTGAATGAATGAAATAATCTTATTAAATACTTTTTTCTTTACATAGTGGAATGTGCTGACAACAAAATCACACAAAAATTATCAATGGAAATCAAATTTATCAACCCATGGAGGTCTGGATTTGGAGTCACACTCAAAATTAAAGTGGAAAACCACACTACAGGCTGATCCAACTTTTATGTAATGTCCTTAAAACAAGTCAAAATGAGGCTCAGTAGTGTGTGTGGCCTCCACGTGCCTGTATGACCTCCCTACAACGCCTGGGCATGCTCCTGATGAGGTGGCGGATGGTCTCCTGAGGGATCTCCTCCCAGACCTGGACTAAAGCATCCGCCAACTCCTGGACAGTCTGTGGTGCAAAGTGGCGTTGGTGGATGGAGCGAGACATGATGTCACAGATGTGCTCAATTGGATTCAGGTCTGGGGAACGGGCGGGCCAGTCCATAGCATCAATGCCTTCCTCTTGCAGGAACTGCTGACACACTCCTGCCACATGAGGTCTAGCATTGTCTTGCATTAGGAGGAACCCAGGGCCAACCGCACCAGCATATGGTCTCACAAGGGGTCTGAGGATCTCATCTCGGTACCTAATGGCAGTCAGGCTACCTCTGGCAAGCACATGGAGGGCTGTGCGGCCCCCCAAAGAAATGCCACCCCACACCATGACTGACCCACCGCCAAAACCGGTCATGCTGGAGGATGTTGCAGGCAGCAGAACATTCTCCACGGCGTCTCCAGACTCTGTCACGTCTGTCACATGTGCTCAGTGTGAACCTTCTTTCATCTGTGAAGAGCACAGGGCGCCAGTGGCGAATTTGCCAATCTTGGTGTTCTCTGGCAAATGCCAAACGTCCTGCACGGTGTTGGGCTGTAAGCACAACCCCCACCTGTGTATGTCGGGCCCTCATACCACCCTCATGGAGTCTGTTTCTGACCGTTTGAGCAGACACATGCACATTTGTGGCCTGCTGGAGGTCATTTTGCAGGGCTCTGGCAGTGCTCCTCCTGCTCCTCCTTGCACAAAGGCGGAGGTAGCAGTCCTGCTGCTGGGTTGTTGCCCTCCTACGGCCTCCTCCACGTCTCCTGATGTACTGGCTTGTCTCCTGGTAGCGCCTCCATGCTCTGGACACTACGCTGACAGACACAGCAAACCTTCTTGCCACAGCTCGCATTGATGTGCCATCCTGGATGAGCTGCACTACCTGAGCCACTTGTGTGGGTTGTAGACTCCGTCTCATGCTACCACTAGAGTGAAAGCACCGCCAGCATTCAAAAGTGACCAAAACATCAGCCAGGAAGCATAGGAACTGAGAAGTGGTCTGTGGTCACCACCTGCAAAACCAGTCCTTTATTGGGGGTGTCTTGCTAATTGCCTATAATTTCCACCTGTTGTCTATTCCATTTGCACAACAGCATGTGACATTTATTGTCAATTAGTGTTGCTTCCTAAGTGGACAGTTTGATTTCACAGAAGTGTGATTGACTTGGAGTTACATTGTGTTGTTTAAGTGTTCCCTTTATTTTTTTGAGCAGTGTATAATCCATTTTAGAATAAGGCTGTAATGTAACAAAATGTGGAAAAGGGGTCTGATTACTATCCAAATGCACTATATAGCTGTATTTTTTCCATTTGTTAAATTGGGAACATTCTCCCTCAGAAGCTGTTTTCATTATTGATAATTTGACATGAATATCACAAGTCAAGTCTGGTCGGCTCATATTCCCTCATCAATACTTTGGAGTCACACAGTGGTGGAGTGAGTTTGAGCAATCCCATAGATGAAGTCTGATGTAAAAGCCAAATTGATCCCAATGGGTTATTACAGGGAGCATTGCTGTAGTCGTAGTAAAAACACTGTTCCTTTTTTCATCAGACAGTCAAACAACATCCTGCCCTCCTTCAAATCCCTCTATACTGGTTGCTCTTCTCATCCCTGCACGAACAGTTATGGTTATAAACCACTCAGACCAAGTACAGACATTGTGCATTTGGAAAGCCTTTTAAAGTCCACTGGCCAATCACAAGGTACACTGGACCCAGTCAAACAGAGGCACCGCTCACTTAAAAGGTCTACCCACAGCGATCTCAGAGCACTGAAACTACATTTTCCATTGTAAAACATTGATAGCTTTAATCATATTTCTGAATATATATTTTGTATGCAGGGCAGGCAGTTCTCCGACTGAAAGGATGAGGAAGGGAGGGAGGAAGTAGGGAGCTCCACGGTTCCCCTAGTAAGGCTAATTGCCTGTTATTGAAATTATTTGAGTCATTTTTGTTGACTTGAAGTCTTGGCTGACTTACCTCTGGCTGCAGTGGAGCAAACCTCATTACCCGGCTCTGGTCATTTCTCTGTGGCTCCTCAGCCTGTCTCCTGACTCCGCGCCCGGCTCCAGGTCTGACAGGCCAGTCTGGAGAGGGACAGCGAGGATGGCTTAGGGGGGTGGAAGGAGAGTGTGTCCCTGTGATTACCTCTACGGAGCCCATACTGAGACTGGGATAATGCTGGCTGTTCCTTCAATCCAAGGCCAGATCCTAGTACACACTGCAGTTTGCTTTGCACACAGAATGTAGCTGTAGTTGATTGATAGCCTGCAGCT